AATTTGCTACTGTTATGAGTTGTAATGTAAATATCTGATATGCAGGATATCTAGTATGTGACTCCAAAAGGGTCACAACTCACAGGTTGATGACTACTGGTTTAGATAAATCTAAATAAGCCCCAAATAGAGACATCTGAAGATGTTTCTGAAGTAGCTGGAAAGCTTGGCTTCATGTGTTTTCTTCCGTATCATGTCCAAAGCCACTTGATTTTGGGATGCAGTGAGTTTGCCATTGGGAGGCTCAAGTTTTCCTTTATTGACCTTCAAATTCTACAGAAGTCTCAATATGAGCAAAGATCCTTCAGGGACATCTGGCCTAATTCTTTTCTTCCTTCCTTAATTCTTAATTCTAAAATTTTCATACAGCATATTTTGATGTTTCTCCTACTCCAATTCCTCCCAGATCCTTCCCATCTCCCTACCTACCCAACTGTTTCCCTCCCTCCCTCCCTCCCTCCCTCTCTCCCTCCTTCTCTCTCTCTCTCTCTCTCTCTCTCTCTCTCTCTCTCTCTCTCTCTCTCTCTCTCAGTTTTTCAAGACAGGGTTTCTCTGTGAAACAACTCGATCTGTAGACCAGGCTGGCCTCAAACTCACAGAGATCCGCCTACTTCTGCCTCCCTAGTGCTGGGATTAAAGGCGGGCGCCACCACCTCCACCTAGCCTTTTTCCTGTCTCTTTAAAAAACAAAACAAGAAAGTCTCAAAGTCACACACACACACACACACACACACACACACACAGAAAGAGAAAGAGAGAGAGAGAGAGAGAGAGAGAGAGAGAGAGAGAGAGAGAGAGAGAGAGAGAGAGAGAGAGAGAGAGAAACAACAACAAGGCAAAACGGAGACAAAAAGTTTACAATGTACCATGTACTTTGTTTTATGCATGGAGTGGGGTCTGCCATGAAGTGTGGTTAATAAACCTTGTGAGATCCTCTGGAGCAAGCTGATGCTTGCTTTGCCCATGGGTATAGTTTGGAGATAGCCCATGTTTACTTCTCCCCTCGGTGCTGGACCTCTTCCGGATTGAGCCTGTGCAGACAGGCCTTGTGCACGCTACCACGGTCTCTGTGAGTCCTATGTGCACCAGCCCTGTTGTGTCTGGAAGACGCTGTTTGCTTGGAGTGTGCCCTCGCCTGTGACTCTTACAATCTTTCCATCCCCTCTTTCACACAGATCCGGGAGGGGGATGTTAACGCTAGCACCCCGTTTAGGACTGAGTGCTCCAGTCTCTTCTGTCTGCACAGTGTCCAGTTGTGAATGAGACACTGATCTATGTGTGCAGCAGAATGTCAAAAGGAGCCACTTTATTGCTGTGTTTCTTTAGTAGATCAGTAGTGTGAGGTTTTCACCTAGGCCAATCCCTACAACCTGTAAACGCACAGCAAAGGGGACTCGGGTTGCAACTGGAACTAAGGCTGTTGATCAGCTGACCTAAAGAGGCGGAGAGTATCAGGGTGACTTGGGAAGCCTCAATGGAGTTACAAGGATCCTTGCAAAGGCAAGCAGACTAGGTACTGGAGTCAAAGAAAAGACATGGCCTCAGAAAGAAACTAAGCAGTGAGAAGGACTCGGCTCACTTTCTCCAGGCATGAAGAATAACCTGGAAGCCATGGAAATGGGTTCTTCCTCAGGCCCCCCAAAAGGAGCCCTGCCTAGCCTCTCTACACCTGGACTTCAGTCTAGTGAGATCCGATCCGTGTTTCTGATAGCCAGAGCTGCAAGGTAATTTTCCGCTGTTCCGGCAGCTGAAGTGCATGCTAGCTAAGCAACAAAGCGGCACGCTCTAGATCCGCCCCCTCCACAGCGCCACAAGCCATCGGGACACAGACTCCCCTAGAACCCAAAAGACAAGACTGGAGCACTCAGTCGGTTGATAGCTGGTTGGGGTGGCCAGCAACAGGGAAACTCAATAACAGGGCTGTGGGCAAGATGCCCCTCGCCTCTCTCTCACGTAAGAGGTGGCCAGTCCTCAGCTGGCAGATACCTCTACACTGCCATCAAGAATGCAGATTACAGGCCTGGAGAGATGGCTCAGCAGCTAAGAGAACTTCCTGTTCTTCCAGAGGACCTGAGTTCAGTTCCCAGCACCCAAGTCAGGTGGCTCATAACTGCCTGTAACTTGAGTTGTAGGACATCTGTCTCGCTCTTCGATCTCCACGTGTACGTGCACACGTGCAGTACACACAAAAACAGACTCACAGTTTTTAATGAGTCTTTATTAAAAAAAAAAGTAGGGGTACAGGAAGGCCATGGGAGGCCTGTCCCTTTCTGAATAGAGATGGAGGAGGAGCATATGGGAAGGGGCTAGATGGGAAAGGGAAGGGGATGGGAGGAGAGGAGGGAGGGGAAACTGGTTGGTATATAAAATAAATGAAAAAAATGTGAAACAGGAAAGAATGTGGGCTTGGGAAACAGTTAGGTTGGTATCACACCCTCCAAGCAAGCATGAGGTGCTGAGGCTCATCTCCCAGAACCTATGTAAAGCACTGCACCTGTAATCTCAGGACTGGGAGGCAAAACCAGGAGAATCCATGGGGCTCACTGGCCAGCCAGCCTAGAGGAATCAGTGAGCTCTGTATTCAGCAAGAGACTATGTCTCAAAAAATAAGGTAAAGAGCAATTGACCCATTGACCCCTAGCCTACACACTCACATATCCATACACATGTGACACATGGGCACACTCAAACAGGTAACATTTAAGAAAAGAAATAAAAAGGGAAAGTGCCATTACTAATGAAGAAGAGAGAAAAGGATGCTGGGAGGCAAATTGTGATCTGTGCTTTGGATTATTATGTGATTTCACAGAAGAAAAGTAGTTGACCAGGCTTCCAGATCTTGTTCAGGCCCAGGGAAGGTTCAGCCACTCTGTGATTACCAGCATTCTGATGTGATTCACGAATTCTAGCTTGACAGAAACGTTAGCTTCACAGACCATGGACTTGGAGATCATGGTTGTTTGTATCTCAGGCTAACTGGGAAGTCAGTGCTCCATCTTGGCTTTGTAAAGGTGTGCTGGGCTGTTAAATGTTTTTTGAGTTTTGCAAATATAATATCCCTGTGCAATGACCAGGTTCTTAACTATGCTGATTAAAACATAGTCGTTTACATTTATTTGGGGTGTGTGTGTGCGCGCGCGCGCGTGTGCGTGCGTGCGTGCGTGCGTGCGTGCGTGTGTGTGTGTGTGCGCGCGCGAGCGCACGCGAGGATGCACATGCGGAGGTCTGAGAACAACTGGCTGGAGTCATTTCTCTTCTTCCACCATGTGGGCCTTCAGGGGACTGAACCCAGATCGTCAGGCTTGGCAGCAAGTTTGTTTATGAACGGATGCATCCCTCAAGCCCCAATCTTTTCCTTCCTTCTTTTCTTCCTTCCTTCCCTCCCTCCCTCTCTCCCTCCCCCCTCCGTCCCCCACTCCCCCCCCACACACATGAGTTTCTCCCTTTCTCTCTCCTCAAATATCTGAAGGTACAGTTTGGAGCTCCTTGATGCTTCAGACTTTGCTTCAGTTCACCCCTCCCGGTGTTGTCTGCAAACCCTTTGAAACAAAGTTGAGGGAACAGTTAATTGCCTTCCCGTTTATGCTGTAAATATTGGGCGGCTTGTTTGCAGCATTCATTCCAAACTGTCTCAGAAGAAACTCAAAAGGGAATTATACATAATGTCTTCTTTTATTTTGGAGGATTATGTATGAAAAATTAGTGAACAGATAATTTATAGACTTTTTCCTTAATACTAAAGAGATCACTTACAGTCTGGCGGTTTGTTTTGCTGTGGCTGTTGTTAACAATACCAAAACAGAATTACTTTAGTGGTAGGTAAATTTGTCTAGGACTTACTATGGGTTGTTGGTCATCTAAGCGCTCTCTTCCTTTTTGAGATGAAGAACCTAGTCCAGTTCCATCCCTACATAAAAATGTTTCTCAAAGAGAACCGTGGTTACAGCTTGTAATATAATGGATCCAAAGCAAGATTGATCAGTGTTGGCCGATGCCATGTATCATGTTTCGTTTGCTGGGTCTGGCTGACACCCTATTTAAATTAAAGCTCTAGGTCATTGCTTCCCTGTCAAATGGCAGTCACCTCCAGGGGCAGCTGTGAATGATAGCATGGAACCTTGATGAGGAGCAAGACCCCATCGAGATTGGGGGAGGACACCAAGCATGAAACAGAGTGCTTTTTGAAAAGGAGTAAGATGATATGACGGGTCAGGAAAGGGTTAGAAGAGAAATTAGGATAGGCTTGGAAGGGTGTGGGGCATGCCACATGAGGGGCCCTGGGAGCTCCAGCAGAGGCACCGTCTCCTGGTCTACGTAGGTGGAGAATGTCCGTTTCCAAGCACAGCGGCACAGTTTCCATGACATAAAAGAGGAAGTCCTTTGTGCTTAGTGTAGAAAACTACTAGTGACTTAGATGGGGTTCTGTCTCCCCTTGACACTGTGGGCGTGTTCCTGAAGACTGTGTGAAAAGCGGCTGTGAGGAATCACTGTGAAGGCCAGCGTGTGGAGGTGGCTCTTCACAATGTTAATTAAGTGACCGTGAAAAAGCTACCCTCCCCCATCCACCACACCCCTGCTGTCCCAGTAGTAAGAGTCTGAGGTGGTCACAGCTAAGCAACAGGTGGAAATAGTGTTGAATGTCCCCTGGTCCCTCTACTCGGGTTTTCTTCTCACTGACAACAAAGCACCCGCAACCCACAGCGGCCACACAGAGGTGGTGTACACCGGTACCCTTCCACCTCCAGCACATTTTACAAATTAACTTGATTTACTGTCATACACAATCAGTGTACTTTACCCTGCTTAATGAGCATTCTTCTTTGGGGGCAGGGCAGAAACGGGAAATCAAATCCTGCCAGTTATACATAATGCTGACCGGGAGAGAGGAACTGGGGAACTGGCCCCAGCTACGTCACTGTTCTGAGATCCGCACGTTGTGAAGAACTGCATGTTCTGCAGCTTGTGAGACCTCTGATACAGTCTTCTTCTGTGTTTCCTAGAGTGTCTGAAACCGTCCAGCTCTCCAATGGCCAGCAACAACACCGCCAGCATAGCACAAGCCAGGAAGCTGGTAGAGCAGCTGAAGATGGAAGCCAACATCGACAGGATAAAGGTGAGGGTGGCCTCATGTGTAGCTCATCCCGCTTGACTAGAGCAAATGCCTTGCAGCCATTTGATTTTCTGTACAGATGGGTGGCGTCAGAGAGGATAGGACAGGGTCTAACAACCCTGCAGATACTCTTTTCTCTACAGTGTCTCTTCCTTCCTGGGGTTCCCCAACATCACATGACAGTACGCATTGGAACGATTCCCCATGTTGAATCAGAAACAAATACGACAGTGAAAAGCACAATGGGCTTGGACTGAACTCCAGCCGGAAATGGGCAAGCACTTGAGACACCATCCGCTGTTTACCTCTCTGACCCGATAAAGACATTTTTCTCATTTTGGGTTCTACCATTTTCTGTCCCATTCAGTATCTAATACTAAGTGCCTGTTTTATTAATCTAATCTGTTTTATTTATTCATTTTTTAAAAAATCATCTTTAGCCGGGCGGTGGTGGCGCACGCCTTTAATCCCAGCACTCCAGAGGCAGAGGCAGGCGGATCTCTGTGAGTTCGAGGCCGGGCTGGACCGATAGCCTCCAAAACAATACAGAGAAACCCTGTCTCGTAAAAACAAAAACAAAAAAAAATCATCTTTAGAGTTTAGTGGATTTTTTTCTTCAAAGCTCAAGAGTCACACTTGAGGCCTAAGGAGATGACTCAGTGGGCCCGGGACCTTCTGTGCAAGCATGAGGACTTAGTTTGGATCTCTAGCACCCTCACAAAAGGTCAAGTTTGGGGGCCTGCAAGATGGCTCAATGGTAAAGCTACTAAGTCTAACAATCTGAGTTCAGTCTCCAGAACCCACTTAACAAGGAGAGCCCAGAGTCCCTCTGCCCCTCTATAGGTGCACTGTATACACACACACACACACACACACACACCCCACACCGTACCACACACATCACACACACACATGCACACACACACCACAACACATACCACACCATACACATCACACACATACACACACACCACCATACCATACCCACCCACCACATATCACACCACACACAGAGATCATACACATACACACCTCACCATACCATATCACATACCACACCACACACATCACACACACATACCATGACCACACACATCACACACACACACCACTACACACACAACCACATACATCATACACACACACACCACTACACATACACACATACATACCACAACCACATACATCACACACACACCACTACACACACACCACAACCACACACATCACACACACACACACACACACACACACACACACACACACAAGGGGGAGGGGGCAATGTAACAGATGTAAAAGAAAAAAGCCAGTGCAAGGCAGATCTCAGGGACTTGGGAGCCGGTGCACAGGCAGATCTCAGGGACTCCGGAGCCGGTGCACAGCAGATCTCAGGGACTCCGGAGCCGGTGCACAGCAGATCTCAGGGACTCCGGAGCCGGTGCACAGCAGATCTCAGGGACTTGGTAGCCAGCAGTCAACAGAAACGGAGAGCTCTGGGTTCAGAGAGAGACCCTGTCTAAAAACTAAGGTGGGGAGTGATAGAGGAAGATGTCTGGCGTCCCCCTGGCCTGCCCATGCACAGGCAGTTCACAGAGTCACACTTGGTTTCCCTAAAGGAATAAAACAGCACAGGTTAATGAAGGTTAGTAATCTACTTTTTCTTTCATGTGCCAATCTTATCCAGCCTGTTGAGGCTGGCTTAGATGCAGGGTTTTGTTCAAACCATTTGTCTGGCATATTTTGAAAGTAAAGTTAACCCCATTGTACCATTATGAGTAGTCTGCTAATATAAGGTAGATAACAGTAAGGTAAATTTTTATCAATCATCAATTTTACTTCCTCAAAAGCATTTTAGGAAACGGAACTCAGAAACATATCTTGCTGTACTCAAGTAAAAATAGAACATTATTCCAAATGCCTTTTAAAAAATTACAAAATTTTCCACTTTTTTACTCGACACCTTAAAAAATCTGGATCATTCAGTTGGATGCATTGGGGTATCAGGACTCAAATCTAGTCCGTGCTCTGTTTTTATAAATAAAGTATTATTGGAACACAAGCACACTCATTCATTTATGTTCTGGGTGTGGCTCCATTCACACTCCAACCACAGGCTAGAAGTGTTATCAGGGATCCCACAGCAAGCAAAACTCCAAATAATGGCCTTCTGTACCTTTAAGAAACAAGTTTGCTGGCTGCTGGTTTAGAGCCGTTGTTCACACACCTAAAGCGCTCTATAAACGGACCAGTTCCCAAGCCACACTAAAGGGACGGCCAGTTAAATCAGGATCTCTTGGGCCTAGGATTCGGGCATCGGATTTTTTTTTTTAATTTTCAGTTAATTACAATCTATAGCCACAGTTAAGAACTGCCACCCTAGTGTAAGGGGTTGACCCTTCTCACCGCCAGTTTGCTCATGAGGAAGCTGGCCAAAGACCCAGGGTTATTTCCCACCACTGGAAACCTCCTGTCAACTCAGACTCCTGGTAGTGGGCCACACCATAATCAGATGCAGCTCTGTTTTCCGTGGCATTTAGTCCTCCTTACTTGCGGATGAGACAAGGCCCCTTCCTCTGTGTTTTCCTCCTCTGCCGCGTTCTGGCATCTCCTTCATTGCCTCTTATCCATTCCTCTTCTGAAGAAGCAAGAAGAGACTGTCAGGCATTTCAACTGTTAGGAGAAGGAAGGTGGCCCAGGGACTGCTGTATCAGAGAGAGACATTCCTTTCCTTCATGGGGATGGAGGCTCCACCCATCCTCCTGAGAGCACTGGTTTTGCCCTCTCTGTGAAGCTCCGCTGTGGTCGGCATTTTCTGCCACTCCGCAGGGTCCCCAGGCACCAAGGAGAGTGTGATGTCCTGATGGGTGACAAAAGTGACAGCAGGAGAGGGTACTGAAATGAGCTCTTCAGCCAGGCACCCCTCCTTGAACCCTTGACTGCAGTGGTTCCAGCCCGATCCCTGCAGTCCGCCTCAACCCACTCCCATCAGGCCGCCAGTCCCCGCCACAGCGCTGCCAAAGAAAAGTCTGCAGAAGCACATTTCATCATGCTCCTCTCCCACTGAACGCTTTATCACTCCACAGCTCCCCATCCCTTGTACGATGAATCTCTAACTCTTTAAAGGAACCTACAGGGTCCCCCATGCACCTCCAGCTTTATTCCCCTTTCTCTTGCCACACTGGTCATATCAACCACTGCTCGTTCTCTTGAAGGGACCTTCAAGCCCAGGAACATCTTGGTCCTCCGGTCACCCACTCAGTGTGCTACTGGGAAATGGCACAGGCTTCCTGGAGATTCAGACCGATCATTAGGTTGTTGGTAAAGGTTTCCAGGGCCCTCCCTGTGAGGTTGGAGTTGTCTTCAGTCCATGTATTCATCTGTTTGTCTAGTAAATATCTTACTGAGATTCTCTATGCTGCCTCTAGGTTTCAGAGGTAGAAATGAACACATGTGGGTCTTACCCTCCATCATGTGTCACATAGTGAGGGCTTAACAAAAGATATGAACAAAACCTACTATCAGAATAAGCAGAAGTATCCAGGAAGCGTAATCACCAAAGGTGTCAAAGCCCACTCCTTACTGCTCTTTGAAGAGACATAAGTAAGTAGCTAGGGAGAGAGAGTGCATGCGAGGGCTAGTTAGCCTAATAGAGCGCATGCGAGGGTTAGTTAGCCTAATAAAGCACGCACCGAGCGGCCCCCTCCCAGTCGACCCGCACAGCTGCATCCCTGAAGTCTCCTTGATGCCAGCAGACCTTCTGTTGATGGAAAACCAGCAGCAGCCTGCGCTAGGGCATTTGTTCTCTACCGCACAGCCAGGCAAGCATGCTGGGGTGAAATGACAAATTATTTTTAGTTTCCCTGTTGGGTAAAACTGTGACTGTATTGACGCCGTTGTCAGCTGGCTGGTTATTTGATTTCAGGGGTCCTTCAAGGGCTCCAAGATTTCTAGCTTCTCTACCTACTTCTATTCATGAGCCTGTCACCCAGGCGGGGGCTGGGGGCTTTTTGAAAGATGCCAGGCTTGTGATTTTTCCAGTTGCTGCGGTAGCCTTATCACATCATAACCTTGTGCGCATCTGGAGGAACCGGCTGTGGCTACGGTGACATGGGTAGGACCCGTAATAAGAGCAGATAGAGTACAGCTGCCGCTGCAGTTTCTAAAGGTCTCATAAGCAAGAGCTTCCTCATCCCTTGGATGGCCTCCAGAGTGACCCAGCCTGCTCTATTGGACCCGAATAACACTTTTTGTTTTGAAACTTTTCTTGTTTTCTAGCCTGTGTACCCCACAGGGAGATTCGGACTACTAAGACCCTTACCTGTTCATAAGCCCCAGGCGTTTTACTGACAATTCCGGCCTTCATCTATTTCTTTGTTAGCATTTCCTTCAAGGGTAGAGAGTAAAAGCAAGGGCGTCAAAGCGGAGGCGTGGGAGGGGCTGTGAGCCGCGGCCCTGGGATTTCTGCGGCAGGACATACACGGACACTAACAGTGGAATAAGGGGGTGTGGGCGCCGGGAGCATTGACGGAAGTAGAGGACGCGGGTTTCAGGAGCTATCTTATCACCGTATTAGGACTCTTTGAGCATCAGAGAGAAGCCTGAAGCAATCTAGTTTAAGCAGAAAGAAATGATTAATTATAGAAGACAGAAGTTGTCCTAGCATCCAGGGATCCAGGGACAGAAATGAAGCTGGGACAACTGGAAGCCATCAGGAGCTGTGAGAGCTCCGTAGGGAGCCATTGCTTCTCCCGCCATGTGTGTTTCCTGGGAAGGGTGGATTTCTCAGCTGACTGTTCACGTGGCAGGCAAGAGACGCTGCCCACTGCTCCCAGGGTAACAGAAAGATGTTTGACCACGTCTTTTCAGTTTCACTTGCATAATCTGGCATCTCTATTAGCAAGAATCCCACACCTCCAGCTTCAATCTTCCGCTATCAAAATCAAACCGCAGTATGAAATCATCGAAAGGGGCCAGGGACTGTTGTAAGCTAGGGCTATGTTATT